AAGACAGGGACTTGAACAAATGGATCCACTTTTATTTAAGGGACATTTTATTGTGTCTCTGCTTTGCATTTTTATTTGTTTTAAAGTTTCTATTTGGTTTGCATGTTCAACTTTAATAGCATATTAAAGGGGCGCTTTTAAACATTAATGAAACTTGATATTGCTGATTTCTAAGATACTTCTGAAAAGAAACAAAGAAAATGTATCAGATACCACAAAGCTTATTAAATGACATTGCCCTGCAGTGTTCATAGCTCAGATTCTGAAGTTTTGTAACAGAACAAGAAACTTTGTTAGGAAAACTGATCAGGTTACCAGATGGCCCTTATTTCAAAAGGTCCTAATTCAGAAACATCACAGATCTACAGAACATAACAGATGTGACTCATTTTGGACATTACAACACAGATAGCCTAACTTCAAAGTATGCCTTATTTTGGAAATTATTTTGACATTTGTCACAAATTCAAAGTGATGCTCTCAATCAGACCTTGTTAATGCTTAGAGCCCATCTCTACCTTGTACTCAGCCTTTTGGGAAAGTTACTAGTCCTTTTAGGCAGGCTAGTAATCTTTTGCCAGGTTACTAGCCACACTTCCAGGAAAGCCGTTTCGTGGTGGTGCTTCAAATAGCTTTCCAAATTGCATTCTGTGTCCCAAATAGGTTGCTTGCTTTTGTTCTAGAGTGATCATTATACAAGCATAAGAAGTGTTTTCATGAACTTTAACATGGGCACTTTATTTCAGTTACTGTTACTTTATAATTTCTGAATAAAGCAATAAACCATAATCTTTAAAGAGATAATCCTTTAAATTTTTCAAGAAAAAATATTGGGGAAAGAAGAGAACATGCTATTAATGCATATGCAAAATGAACAAAAATAGCTTACTAATTTAATTAAAACATAGAGATGTAAAATACAATCTCAGGGCAGGATACTTAATGTGAATTTCAAGTAAGCATATTTATTTAATGTTAGATGATCCTTTGTACTCTGCCAAGAGAAATATCAAGGTATTGGTATACTGGAATTCAAACAGGTAATACCTACGTTGCTGTGCTCTCAGGGAAGAAACATACCTTACATTGTTTCATAGAGAATGTAAGCTAGTTATTTTCTTGAGCTAGTTAAATCACAAATCAGGTAAGATTGAAAAGCGGACAAAAGAATTTAGTTGCATTTCAAATTAGATAAAGTACTTAATTTCTGTAGATTTTATTCCAGTAGGCTAGGGCAGTGATTTTCAGCCTTTCTACAGCTGGGGACTGGCAAAAAATGAAAACCACTTCGGGGGCAGTTGAAGGGGAAACAAAAAGCACTATACACGTAATACAGTATTCTGTGTATTAGTGTCCAAACTCAATACAAAAAACAGAGAAAATTTTCCAAAACAACCAGAAACTGAGCAACAGAAAATGCTAACAAAAGAACAAAATACTGAAACCAGCACAGCGTGACTCCTAGCCATTTCCCACTGAACTGTCTCTCCCCTCCCCAGCCCCCATTCCCAGTGGCACTGGCGTATCCCCCACAAATGTGATGCCAAACAAGGAAGAGGTGGTGGAGCACAGCCAGACCCTATGCTGGTCCACAGCAAGCCCTAACCCTAACCCCCCCGCCATGGACCATCAGGAAATCCCCCGTGAACTGGTGCCAGTCTGCAGAACAGTGGTTGAAAACCGCTGGGCTAGGGAAGCCAAGAAGAGGAAGTAGATGAATTCCATTAGATTCCTACAGAGGTCTTTCTGCCAGGAGTACAACATTGAATGATCTATTTAAAAAGGCTAATTATGAACATCTTTTTGTACACATTCTACAGCAACAGTTGTTTGATGTGAAAGCTTAACTTTTTGCAAAAATACTACAAATTACAAAAATATCTTTGGCTACAGAGACATGTGCAGTACATGGGGCTGCCTTTGAAAATGTTCTGGAAATGTCAACTGATCCAAAACAGGGCAGCTAGACTGTTAACAGGGACTGGCTTACAAGAACACATTGCACCAGTTTTCTTTGAGCTACACTGGGTGCCAGTTGAAATCTGCAACCAATTCAGAGTGTTAATACTAAAATGCAAAGCCTTAACTGGCTTGGGGCAAGGTTATCTGGAGGATGACCTCCTCCCATATGTACCTACCCAGAGCCTAAGGTCATCTTTGGGGGACCTTCTTTTGGTCCTCCTCCAAAGAAAGGGAGGAGGATGGCTACCAGGAGGAGGGCCTTTTTGTTTGTGCCACCCCAGTTTTGGAATGAGCTCCCCAAAGGTGCATCTGGTGCATACATTGTATTCTTTTTGGCACCTTTATATTTTCCCAGTATTTTTACAATCTAACTTTTTAACTTTGTTTTTATGCATCCCATTTTATGCTGTACTGCTGCTACACTTCTGTACTGAATAGCAATTGTAGTTATGGTTTTGTTCTTTTAAAGTAATGTTGCCTGTACATGTCTATAATCACCCAGACAGCCTCAGCTATTGGTAATATAAAAATGAAATAAATAAACCATTAGAGAGATAAAATGGTAGCATATGGTCATGGAGTCCACTACCACCACCATTGCTCTGCCCCATGCTTCAATAACTAGAAATGGCATGATTGTTGCTTTTGTTGCAGTTTTTCTTTCATCTGTCCCCTTAATAAATGCACTAGGTTAAATGTGGCTGGTGCCAAATTTCCGGATCACTGTGATCATGATGCCACTGAGGGACCCTTTTCCTCTTTGCTTTTGCCTCTTCCCTGCTCCATGACATATTTCTTAGGTATGACTTGTTTAGGCTATTGTACTGCAGTAGCTGGCCTTGAAAAGCAGTTGGAAATCTTAGCTTGTACAGAATGATGCAACCAGATTATGGACTAGATCTGGTTATAGGAAATGTTAACTTCCTTGTTACAATAGCTTCAGAGGCCACTGGTCAGTCTCTAGACACAGAATTACTGACTATAACCTACTTAAAAAGGTAAAGGTTTCCCCTTGACGTTAAGTCCAGTCATGCCTGACTCTAGGGGGCGGTGCTCATCTCCATTTCCTAGCTGAGGGAGCCAGCGTTTGTCTGCAGACAGCCTCTGTGGTCATGTGGCTGGCATGACTAAACACCAAAGTGCACAGAATGCTGTTACCTGCCCACCGAAGTGGTACCTTTTTATCTGCTTGCATTTGCATGCTTTCGAACTGCAAGGTTGGCAGGAGCTGGGACAGAGCAATGGGAACTCACCCTGTTGTGCAGATTCGAACCGGCAACCTTTCGATCAACCAGCCCAGCAGCACAGCGGTTTATGCAGTCCCATAACCTACTTATAGACCCCTTAATTATAGACCCCTTAATTACTTAGGACCATTTTCTCATATGAGCTTTCACATGTTTTAAGATCCAGTCACAATCAGAGACATATTTGGGAATGCAAGAGAGGACCTTCTCAGTTCCCAAGCTGTAGAACTTGCAGCCAGAGATGGAGCTAGCCCCATCTTTGATGTCCTTCTGCCAGAATTCTTATTCAGAGAGGTGCTTGGTTTTAAGCGGACACATCAGTTTGCTGAAATAGATTTTAAGAAATGTTTATGTGTTAATTTTATTGATACCGTTTAAGTTCATTTGTTTTTATATTTTGAATATAATTTGGTATATTAGTCAATATTTTACTGTTGTTAGCCACATTGAACACCATGTGTAGCAGAAAGGCATGCTATAAATGCAGTAAATTAATTTTAAATGTGTTGGGCTAGATAAAAAATATTTTTGTGCACCAGGAGATCTTTCTCCTTCCCCCCACCCTACTTTCCTATCTTTCCTTTCTGACATGAGATTTTCTAAAGTGAGGAAAAACTTTTCAGTTCACAGTTCATTCTGGTAACCACAGCAGTATGTTACTTCTGAGTAAAACACTCCAAACTTAATGGTGAACACAGTAGGAGATAACACAACTGAAAGCCAATGCCTGCATTATACAAGAATAATATAAACATATAACAATCTTAATGTTGGCCACCCTGTAACTATGAAGAAAGTGTTGTTTCAGATGTTGTATTTTCTAGATTTTGTTTCCCAACCTTTTCTATGCCCCATAGCCCTAGAAAATGTTTGATTTATGTTCACATCCCCTACAAAAGTAATATCACATTTGAAGATGAAGAAGTCAAATTTCTCAGTTTTGAACCACAAATTAAACCACATACAGTATTATGGGGGAACAAGTTGAACTTAACAAATGCTTTTAACTCAGTGCATGCTTTTAACTCAGTGCATAACATTCAAATAGAAATTGAGCAATTAGAAAGAAAATGTAAACAGTAAAATAAGCCCCAGCTGTGAACATAACTACTCCTTTGTTCCTGTTTCTCAGTCATGATTTTGTCCAAACATGGAACTTTTTTGCTGATTGTGATCTGCAAGTCTGCCTGTGGATTCAGGTGATTCCTAGATTTTGTCTTGATTGACAGTTGGATGCTGTGCCATTTTTATCTGCTTGTTGTAAACTTTCCCAATTTGCTAGTAATGGGACTGTCTATAAAAGCTTTAAATAAATAAATAAACAAACAAACAAACAAACAAACAAACTGAATCCAAATACAAACATTACTACTACTACTACTACTTTTATAATTGGAATACTTTTTGGTAAAAAGGTCCTAATTCACCAATTTTGGCAAACAACAATGTGGACTTCCTTTTTGTTGCACCCCCCCAAAATGCCATCTTGCAATCCTTCAGAGATGTGGGCAACCCAGGTAGGGGATCCCTGTTCTAGATCTTTTTGTGTTTCTTGGACATATCTAGCTATGGGATTTCTAGAGCAAATGTATCTCAGTTCATGCACCTGCAGCTTATTGAAGGTATGCAATTACTGATATTAACACATATAAACTTTAATGAGCAGATGTTTTTTGTTGTTTAGAGTTGGGGGTGTTTGTTTATGTTTGCATTGGGTACAGGATTTCTTAGCGGCCTAAGGTTCTTATTGCTAAAGCTGACACTATTTTTTTTTTAATTTTCTCTCTGTAGCTTTAACAGTGTGTGTCAAGGTACACATATTTTGTTCCGAGAGTTCAGCTTTGTCCAAGCTACACCCCATAATAGGGCATCCTTTCTAAGGACCTTTTGGAGATGCTTCAGAACAGTGGGGAGAAATGGAGGTGAGTCTAGGGGGATATGAACTGTTTCTTATGCTGTAGATATACTCTATTACACTGCTCATTGACTTGGTTTGCAGTTAACATTTAACCAATAGTTTGTACCCTACTCAGGGTTCTGCTAGCAGATGATTGAGCAAACTGGTTTGTATTCTCAGTTCCTAGGTTGTGTCTCTTCTCCTTCACCTGCTTCCTCTCTGTATCCCAAATGCCTTTGCAGAACTGTTCTATCAACATGTAGAACAGCTGTTTTTGTTTTAATAACCCAGGGTGGCTTTTTCCATGATTAGAGATGTGAAAACCCAGATAAATTGGGGAAAATATTTCCAGGGATTTTTCTGAAGCCTTTTAATATTAAAAAAAGGGAAAAAACAATTATAGGATATTTTCTTTCAGAATGATGGCTAAAATGTTTCAGACAATGTATGCATATATTTACTTCTCCAAATATTAATAACTATGTAATAGATATTAATAATTAATAACTATGTAATAGATATTTATGTAAGACTGTGTGCATTATTCAATCTTTCAAGTTCTTGTGCACTGAGAACAAGAAAGTCCTAGGTTGTAAACTGGGACTAAAATTCTCCAATGTTACATGAAATATGCATTTCCAGATGTTACTAGGATGGCAAAACATACCATGATAATATGTAAGAACTGTTTTTCAGACATTCTGGTGAAAGTACAAGTAGTTTTTCTCAGTGTTCTCATTCCAGAAGCCTCCTTTCTGCTCCTTCTATAATACCAGCATCATCATGAAGAATTTCCCCATCAGCATCTTCAAGTAAACAAACACTGCAACCACTGCATCCTAGAATACTCAGTAGCTTCATTTGTAGACAAGATGGCACCTGGAGATCAGGGTAAAATTGACCAAGCTCTTGCAAGAGCAATATATTCTTCTAGGACCCCATTGTCAATAACTGAAAATGTACACTGGTAGGAAGCTTTTGAATTATTAAGACCATCATACCATATTCGTTTAGTCTTGGTTCAGTCCCCCTTTTTTCTCGGTATTTTTAATGGGAATGAATGCTTTTTATCTACTCGACACTATGGAGGAGAGGTCAAGAAGACACATACTTTTTTGTTTACTGATACTGATGGTTTCCTCTGTGCTTATTGTTTTCTTGCTTGCTCCTCATAAACTAGGAAAACCAAAGAGTTTCCTTATTTTTTATGTTTTCCTTATAGTTCAGTACACAAACAACAACAAAATAAAAATGAAAAAATCAGTTTCTAATTATTATCTGAATAAACCATATTTTTAATATACCAACCACTATCCTTTTACACAAAACCAAGTTATATGTAAAACATATCATGTTCCTAAACTAAGGAAGCTGTAAAGGGTGCCAATACTACATTTTTTCCAATTTTCCAAATTTTTCAGTTTTTCTCTGGGACTTGAAGGTTGTTGTGTGAACCAGTTATATGGTTATGGGTTATGCAAGGGCTTAAACAACTCCATGTAATTCATGGTCTGTTCTTGCTAAATTTGTATGACATCACGACCTCTCAGTAAAGGTTGGATATGAAACCTGATGCCAACAAACCTAGCGGCTCATTGTCAGACAAGTTTCAGTGTGTCAGCCACACCAAGTTATTGTTTAATCAACTTGGAGTTCACAACCCAGCAGCAAATAGAGCCTTATTTTCTGGGTTATTTGTGGTTAATAAACCATGGTTTGTAAGCATAGTTGCATTGGCACGTCACACTAACTCAAAATTCGACAACCCAGGGATTAAACAAATAATGGAACAGCATTAGTATGTGCAAACCAGGTCTGCAAGGATTTTCAATTGAATTAATGGCAAGTGGCTGAATTTTCTATTCATTTGCATACTTTCTGAATGGCCTTTCATATTTATAATGTTTATAGGAGCATGTATGCTTCAGTAGTGTCTGATGTTTATGTTAATGGATTGCTCTTCTTTTATTCAGGAAAGCCTTTTCTAGTCTTTATTTTTCCCTAAGGCTTCTTACTGGCTGCTCTCTAAGAGTTTAATGTAAAATTAGGCCACTGGCTCCAATGGTAGAATTCTCAGGAGGTAGGCTGGCAGATCAAAGGCTGTCCTGTACTACAGAAAGTCACATACATATATGTTTGATTTATGACATGTATAAAAATAAACAGCTCGGGCACATACTGTATACTGATGTACAAAGTAGTAGTTAATAGAAATAGACAGTAAGCCTAGACTTCAGTTGTCTTGTTCCCTGAAGGGTGTACCTGCAGCCATAAGATTGTTTGGATCTCCACTTTTGTGGGTGGAGAGAAAGGTCTACCCTCAGAGAAGCATATCTGACCTCTTGTGAGGATGCTGTGGAGAAGTTCTTTAACAGTTCTGTTCTGATGATGGAGGGGGCAAAAAGGAAGAGTTGTTTATTTTATTTTCTTTATTTACAACATTTATATACCACTGTGAAAGAGAATAAAACACTGTGTTAAAGCAGTGGGATAAATACCATAAAAAACCATGGCTAGTCAGTCAGTCCTGAAATAAAATTGTTTTCCAGTTGATACCTGCCTGACCTCCAGAGGCAAGAAGTTCCACAGAAATGGGACCGCCATGCTGTAGGCTCATCTCTGGGTAGATGTATATCAGACCATAGATCCATGTAGAACCACCAGAAGCATGCCATCCACTGGCTGGACAAGTTGGTATTTTGGGAGATCCAGAGTATCCAAATTCCTCACATTTCCAAGTAGCCCTGGGTTTTCAGTCTTGTATTTTTTATTTATTTAGGTTTTATATACAATTCATTAGTATGGAGCTCTCAGAATGGTGTACAATAAAACCCTATCAAAACAATGAAATATTAACAATCAGTTTAAAATCAACAATGTCAGCAATCTTAGAGTTTGAGTAGCTGTATATGGGATGAGCTGTTCCTTTAGATATCTGGTTCCTAAGCCATTTAGGGCTTTATATGTTAGTATGAACACCCTAAAGTGGGCTTGGACTTCAGTTGGTAACCAATGCAGATGATAAAGCAACAGGCTGATATGTTTGTGCCTGCTTGTCCCTGCCATCAGATGAGTTGCCCAGCTTTGTACCTATTAAAGTTTCTGGGCTTTTTTTCAAGGGTAGCCCCATATAGAGCAAATTACAATAGTCTAAATGCAAGGTTACCAGATTGTGGATTACCATTGCTAGGTTCTGCTTGTCTAGATAAGGGATGCAGTTGATGGAAGGTACGCCTGGCCACAGATGCTACCTGGGACTTGAGGGAAAATTCTGGATCCAGGAGCACCCCCACTCTCCACACTCTGTCCTTTAGGGGGAGTGCAATTCCATCTAGGTCAGGGCAGATATTTTAGGGCCCATATGTAAAAGGCCACAAACCATTCAGAATAGCTCTGCTGGATAGCACTGAGAGGGTGGAGAAAAATGCTTTCTTTGCTGCCTTTGCCACCACAAAGGCTTGACAATAAGCTCTTACCTGTGTTCAGTTGGGTTCAGCCTGAGTTTTCCTCCACTTGTGCTCTAGTTGTCTGACTTACCTGGCATAGCTTTTTTCCCTCCTATTTGAATGAATGGGAAGGAATTTTTTAAGCTCCTGAACTGAGAAACCTGCTGACCTTCCACCCTGCTGGCATGAACCTGGCAGTCTGCCTCAAATTCTCTCTGCCACCACCCCATAGGATTCCTCAATTTGTAAATTGACTTTTCTGAATAGAAACTACTTGATACTTTCAGTCCCTGTAGAATTTTTTATCAGACTTGTTTTTTGGGTGAATTTTTTACCAAGCAGTGTAAGTTGTGGCCATTATATGTATTATTGTTATATGTGTGCAGACATATCTATAATAGTTTAACCCATAGTGCATATGGGTGCCACCATACCAAATGAGGCAGTGAGTTTGTACAATCACTGGAAGAAGAAAGCCATGGTGTCTTCTTTCCCTGGCCCCCATCACAGGGTTCTGTGGTGCTTTGGAATCTAACCCCCACTACACACTTCACCAGGTTAAGACAACACAACACCCTGTGTGCCATGATGGTAATTAAGCAAAGTGTGCTGTGCAAAGTCAGCTTGTTTGGGGGCAGGGAAGAGAAGCCATTGTGGCTCCTTTTTCCCCAGTGATCATGCAAACTCACTACTAAGACTAAAGTATGTATTTAACACAGCATAGCTGCGAAGGCTCTGTTGATGCAAAGTACATAAAGCAAGAATTAGGGAGACTGTATTTCAAGAGAGAATGAGAAATGATGTTTTCACAAGTATGAGCCATTACTATTATGTCCAGCCTTTGCAAAAATAATTATTTTACACCCTTTATAAAATCAGAAAACCAAATGCAGGAAATACTCTAGCCCATTTTCTTTTCATTTCACATGCCTCCTAGCTGCTACAAGCTGATTGTTCTTTGTGTAGGCAATTCAACGTGCTTAACCATTAGCAGCATTTTTGGTGGCTTTCCTTGAATCATCCCTCCATTGTATCTATAGTACAATTGTATGTGTGCTGGAGATGGGAGTTCCAAAAAAGGTTATTTTGCACATTCTCCAGTTTTAAAATCTAGTTCCAACTGAGATGCTTTCAATACTAAATATTTGTTTATTTTTTAACTTTTAAAAATTTAGCTTTGGAATTTTCTTCCTGCCATACTGGTTTGGTCTAGGTTGATGGACTGGCAGTTTTGTTTTTTAATATATGGAGTGATAATTCCAGATGTCTTGTGGTGTATCATAAAAGACAATCACAGGAAACATGAGCTTCAGTGATGTAATGCAAAATGTAAGCCTGCTCAAATTATTCTGTTGCTTCACTGTTCTTTGTTTCAGTGAAACATATGCTAGCTGAGAGGTAAAGAATCTGAACTGGGAAGGACTGGAACCTAACCATGCCTTATTCCTGATAGATCACCCACATTGTCAAGCTCTCATAATTAGTTTGCATAATCCTGTAATCCAAGGATTCTGTTACTAATCTGCACTTGAAGTGGGGAAATTAAGAAACACACTATAGAAGTCTTTAATTTAAGAGT